GTGGGGCTTGGCTTGAGGGAGAAAGAGAGGTGGGAGCGTTGGGAGAAGGTGAGGCGGAAGAAGGGGAGCCCAAGTGGCTATTGTGTAGTAAACGGCCTGGCAACGTTTGTGTCCATCTCTGGCATCCGATCGGTCACTCACTCACCTCGGCTTGCATGCTTTTCCCACCTCCTCGGCTGATCTCCCAGTCACCAGCAAGAGCACAGACTTCTCTGCCCCGCCCCTTTCTCTGAGTGGCAGGTCAGCCAAGGGGGGGTGGGACAGAGAAGCCTGAGCTGCTGCCGGGACTGGAGGGTGCTGGACCTGTTGAGTCGCTGGTGGGGCCAGAGGAGGCAGGGCAGGGGACAGCAGTACCTGCGCTGCCCCCCTTATGAACTGGGACAACTGGTTTGTGCCCACCTCTGGTTGTGTTCATTCAGTTTGTTGTTCAACTGAGTTGTACAGTTCATAAGTCTCATGAAAGGTTGGAAAAGTTCTGAAATGATTTATCTTTGTCCCATTTTTCACATCACAGACACTCAACGTTTTAACACGGGTGTGTAAACTTTATATCCCCTGTAGAGAACCCAATTTTAATACTGAATGCTGTACACCTGCTGGCCACATCTGGTATTGAAATGTTTCTATAGTGAAGATTACTGTACATAAAGTGGTGCCTCACCTTACGACCCTCCCAACTTACAACCATTTTGGGTTATGACCAAATTTTGCTTCTATTTGCAACCAGAGCTTCGAGTTACAACCAGAAAAGGGCAGTGGAAAAGGGGGGGAATTCAAATGTGTGTTTGACGGAGGTGGCTTGGGAGTAACTGGTATTGCTTTCTGCTTCTGAGTAAGTACATTTACAGAGTTTTGCAGGGTAGGTTTGGGCTGGGGGGGTTATGTTTCTGTGCTGTGATTTTTTCTGTGTTTTGGTGTGTCTGATGGGGCTTGCAGCGGTACTTTTTTTTGGTCTGGATTTTTTTTGGGGAATTTTTTTTCAGCCAGAACAGATTAATCACATCCCAATGCATTCCTATGGGAAATGGTGCTTTGACGAATGATCATTTCAAATTACGACCATCATTCCAGAAAGGATTAAGTTCGTAAGTGGTGGCACCGCTGTATATAGAGTGGTTTCTGGCTCCATCTAGTGTCTTGTTCTGGTAACTTCACCTTCAGAAATATATATTTCTAGGATTTTTCTTTTAATGTTTTTTATATTATCAAACCGTGGATAAGGGAATCAGTGGATAAGGCAGTCGTACTGTATTAATAAATATCCTCTTTCTTTATGTTGGGGTTTTTCCCGCTTCAGATTCTTTATTATGTTTTTGGTCAATGTGGGTTTTGACTTTCTCCTTTATAAGTTCCTGATGCAAGACAAAAGAAGATGAACTGGATGAAGTATGCTCTGAAAACATCCCTGAGAAAGAGGAGAAGCAACCGAGAAGGAAAAATGAAAATATTTGGAAAAAAAGGAATGGCTCTTTCCCTTCCCCCTTGGGGAATTTCCAAGATATGCTCTGGAAACATCCTTGAGAAAGAGGAGAAGCAACAGAGAAGGAAAAATGAAAATATTTGGAAAAGAAGGAATGGCTGTTTCCCTTCCCCCTTGGGGAATTTCCAAGAAATCTCTGTCAAAGAAGACATGGATCAAAGCAATGGAAGGCTTGAGTGTTCTGTGTTGAAGGAAAACTTCAACTGTCACACCAGTCTAAAAGCTCACTGGGAAGCCCAGGATGGAAGGAAGCGACAGAAACGCTCAGAATACAGCAAATATCTCTAAGAATTCGTGGAGAAGAGGACAATAAAGAAAGAAGAAGAATAAAGATAGAGGAAGAAAAGGGGACAGAAACCCTATAAATGCTGGGAATGTGAAAAGCGCTTTTATCAGAAGGAACATTACTTTCCACATGAGAATCCACACAGGAGAGAAGCCCTTTAAATGCCTGGAATGCGGGAAGAACTTCCGTAATACAAGCAATGTCTGTTCACACCAGACAGTCCACACAGAGGAGAAACCCTTTAAATGTCTAGAATGTGGAAAGAGCTTTCGTATCAGCAGGTACTTGGTTTCCCATATGAGAATCCACACAGGAGAGAAACCCTATAAATGCTTGCAGTGTGGAAAGAGATTCTGTCACAGTACAAGTCTAAGAACTCATCACAGAATCCACACGAAGGGAGAAATGTTGCTGAAGTGTGGTGAGTGAACAGAGACCTTTGAACAGAGAATGTACCTTATAAATCATCGAAGAATCCACTCAGTTGAGAATGATGCAAAATTATTCACACTTTGAACATTAGCAGCATTTGTTATCTAGATGGAGACTATAATCATGTCTGGTTAAGATCAAGACCAGGGAAATAAATTTGTTGCTCTCATTAAAAAGCATAGTGCACATCCTGAATTAATGTTTTTCAGATACTTAAAAAAAATTGCACTAACACCCCTAGAATTCACCAGGAATTTCCCCAACCAGAATTCTGGCAGTTGTAACCAAGACCCCAAATCCGCAGAGGAGTTACACCTCTGACCCTTCAAGTTCTTTTCTGCAGCAGTGGCCAATTAGGATGGAGAGGAAGAAAGTGGGGGAGATTTGCTGCATCCCATAGGAGCTGCAAGGAATTGGTGGGCAGCAGGAGCCAAAGCCTCTTACAGCACCGTACAGAAGTACGAGACTTCTTTTCCAATGCAGACCACAACCTGCCTACTATCACAAAGCAACAGCCATGGCAGGTGTACCTTCTGTTTAGTTTTCACTAAATATGAGTTTTATCTGTTACTATTTCTGTTCATATTATTTCTTTCCTCTTCAGGCAGGCCTGAAGAGTAGTCTGTTATCTAGAGTCTACCAGATGGGGGGGATATAAATTAAATTAAATTAAATTGAATAAATAAATAAATAAATAAAATCTCAGAAATGATGCTTTCTGTCTTACAGATTTTTAAATGTTTTTGATTTTTTTTATACTTTATTGTTTAATCTTGATCTATGTTTAATGGTTTCTTAGATGTTTTATTTATGTAATGCTTTTACATTTGTTGTTTCATCTGTTGTGAGCTGCCTTACGTCCCCAATGGGGGGATAAGGTGGCATATAAATTATTTAAATAAATAA